AATGAGCATATACGTAAACATGTATGTCCTTCATATATATGTCTTAACAATATTTTCTATTTTCTAGTTATTGAATATTATTTTTAATGAGCATACACATAAACATATATGTCCTTAACATCGACCATCACAAAATTTCGTATTTTAAAGTGATTAGCAACTAGTTTTAATCCGCATAGGGGTGAGTATCTATCTCCTTTATATATACCAAAACATATAATTCACCAATTTTTAGCAATACACGATCAACTTACGGCACTTAAACACTACTGAAAGCAGACGAAACATCGAAACTATATTGATTTTGATGGAAGCCAATAATTTACATGCTAAAAGTAAATTCTTCTTTGTTAATATTTTCGTACATTAAGGGTGTGAGTGAGGGTGTGGTGTCTTATTGAATATAATAAAGAAAACCTAAAATATCATTTCCATTTTATTCAGTTAGTTCAATATATATATATTTAATAGTTTATTTTAATTCAATTAATAAATATTTTATTTAGTGTTATATTGGTTTATTATGTCGTTTATGCTATATAATTCAAACAATTGATGGACATTGTTGTACAGTGGCTGAAGGTGTACTTGATCCATCATTAGTTGAATTATTTTCATCAATTATTGGTTATTAATTAGTTTTATTTAAAAAAAGTCATTTAATACCATCTGATGATGAAATTAAATCATTGATTAAACAAAAACTAACCGAAACATATATGGATGCAGAAATTCGCGTTAGTTTTATAAAATTTTCTTTAATAAAACTGAAAATAATCTTATTTTTTGTTAGAATGAAAAAATTATTTTATTAATAATCGAAGAAGACGAGTTTCAATATCTTGAATTAATAATTAATATAACAAATTAAATTAATCCAGAAAATATATTATGTTTTTTTTCCTTAAAAGAAGAAACAACAGTTATGAATTCTGTTCGTACACAAGTACCGCAAGCAGGTTTAACATATACAAAAGCTGTTGCTTAGGAATTTTTTCCTCTCGTTATTATATTAATTGTTTACCCGATCGCTAAATAACCGTTTTAGGATTGTATGGTATGTTTCATCTGCTTGAATTTGACACTATTGTTTTTTCTTGCACTTCTTATAGCTTTATATAATTAATTAAAATTTAACAAAGTAATTTTTATATTTATAGAAATGTTGAAGAAAATATTCGTGCTGTTATTTTAATAAATGAAATAAATAATAAACTATATCTTGATTATCCAATAATATTTAATAATATAACAGTAATTTATTGGCAACATTGGAGTACTGAAATACTTGTACAAAATGGTCTTTATCATTTAAAAATTTTAATAACGTATTTTATTTTAATTATACATATAAAAAATGTTTTTCTTTCAATTCAACAAAACAAAGATGTTCAATGGTTGAATAAAAATACAAGTGAAAATACAGCTCATCTTCTTGCATCAATGCATCTTTCATTTCGACAAGCAAATTAAAATCATACACAAAAATTACCACATATTAATAAACATACATTTACGAAATTTATTATAATGTAATTGAAAATGAAGCACATTTATTCGAGTTGGAAAAAAAGAAATTTTTTTTATTTAGGTTTGTAAAACGAATCAGCGAAAAATCACCAAATAATCATGAAAATCATTATGATGTCAAACGTCTTCTTGATCAAATTCAATATCAACATAAAACATCAATTAAATTAAAAAAATAATTACAACAAGAAAAAACTGTGCTTGAAGAAAGATTTAAAGTCTAAAAATTTCTTATTGAAATTTCGATATCAAATCTAAAATCTTTTTATTTAGAGTACTGTACGTATGTTAGTTCAAACAGGTCAAGATATGGTTACAGCTGAACAGCAAATTCGTGCTCATAAATCTGAAACATGACGAACAGTTCGGTTAAAACGATTATTACCTGAATATGAGCCAACACAAGAAAAAAATCTTTGTAAATGTTTAGCTATTGCAACTGATGCAAGAAAATTAATTGAAACACTTGATATGAAAGCATTACAAGAATCAAGATTAGTTACTAAAGCAGAAAAACCAGTTGAAGATATATTAGCTACTATTATTATGATTTGTAAGTTTAGAATATCTTTTATTTTTCTATTTTTCTAAAATTTTATATTAAAATAGTAAAATCTCCAACAGCTGATATAACATGACAAAAAGGTGCGAAAAGACAATTAGCTAATCTTGATAGATTTATTGAAGAAATTCAATTGTTTGATAAAATTAATTTAACAGAAGAACATATTAAGTTAATTAGTGGAATTATTGATAATGTTCAACTTGAAAATTCATCACTTAATCAAACATCTTATTATAATGCTATTTTAACACTTTATAAATGGGTCAAACGAGTTTTACAGTTAGTTATTTGGAAAAAAATAATAATTATTATTATTATTTTATTATTTTGTATAGATATCATACAGTTTTACTTAAAAAAGTTCGACCAATACATCAGAAATATAAAGAAATTGAAGAAGATATATTAGAACAAGATCAAAAAATAATTTTATTAGATAATAAAAGTCAAGTTAGTTTCTTATTGTTTAAAATTTTTATATTACAATAAAATATATGTTTAGGCATTAGAAGCTCGTTTAAAAGATGTTTCAAAACAATGAAAGAAAATCAATTAAAAACTGCCTCTAAATTGAATCAAGTTTGTCGAAAATTTCTTAAACGTTGTTCAATGAAAATTGAAATAAATTTAAATATTTATTTTTGTAGATTTTATCTCGAGAATTAGAACGAATAAGTAAAATATTTGAAACAAGTGTAGAACATCAATTAACATTAAATGGCACGTATGCAACTACATCAGCATTTTTAACTTACCTTGGTCCATATACATATGGATTTCGATGTCTTTTGTTAACTATTCATTGGATTGAATGTATTAGAGATAGAAGAATGACTATTGTTTTTGATTAAATATCGAGTATTAAAGGTCGAATTATAAATTGTCAGTTAGATCCTGTTAAAGAGAATTTACTACAAGTAAATGAATTTTTATTTGAAAAATTATAAAAAAAAACTCTTTTTAGATAATTGACGAACAAACTCATTTAGTGGACCTGAATATCATCAAATGTTATTTACTTTAATAAAATTTTTATTAAGTAATCAAATATATTACGAATGGTTAAGTAATGGAGTTTTACCATTAGAAATGAAAAATTATACAATTATTATTAAATCAATTGAATATTCTCCACTTCTTATTGATCTATTTGGACAATATAATCATTGGATGGAAAAATATTATAAACTTCAAAAAATTGATTTGGATGATCAGTATGTTTCATTCTTGTACTAAATAGTTAATTTAACATATCTTTCGAAATCTAAAGTCTAATTATCTAGAATTACCGGTACCCTTTTCCACGAATTCTTATGATTAAGAAAAAATTTGTTTGCATTAAATAAAGATAGAGAAGAAATATTAAAAATGTTTTTTTATTTTATTTGAAAGATCAAAACACTAATACTTGTTTATTATCTACAAATATTTGGACAAAGTTCTTTTACAATTCAATGGACAAGAAATTTTCCACAATTTGTTTTAAATATAATTAGAACTAGTAAAGATCAAAATCTCATGAAAAATTTAATTGAACTGACATTTCCAATACATTCACCATTAGTAACAAAATTATTAGATGAATTATTTCAACAAATTTCATCAAAAACTTCACTTAAATTAAATGAATATCAGTTTGAAATTCCATAAAATTCAAGTCAATTTAATCTTCAATAATTTTTAACAAATTAACATTCAAAAATAAATTTTCATTTTAATGATTATCCATTAAAACAAAAAACTCTGCAACATCAATTCTATCTTTTTACAGAACAATTAAATAAGTTATGGCATGATAAATCAGAAAATATTTTGCAAAAATTAAATATTTCATTTATTAAAAGAACGTTTACTACCTATTTTAAATTTCCCATCAATTAAATATTTTAAACAAGATCTTATTAATATTCCTCTTTATCAGGTATATATTTGTTTTTGTTATTAATAGAAAACATTTTCTTGAGGGTGTGG